GAGGTTGCTGTGAGCTGTAATGCCACGGCACTCTGCCCAGGGGGATAGCTTGAGGCTCTGTCTCAAAAAAAAAAAAAAAAGACCTGCACTTCCAGAACAAAATCCTATACATAGGAGGTTGCTAAGGTAGGGAAGAAGAGCTAATGAAGCTAAAGAAGTGAGTCAAAGGGGTTCTAGTTAAGGATTAGAGGCTGCGGGTGGCCTGTAGCTCAGTGAGTAGGGTGCCGTCCCCATATACCAAGGGTGGCGGGATTCGAACCTGGCCCAGGCCAAACTGCAACAAAAAAAGAGCTGGGCATTGTGGTGGGTGTCTGTGGTCCCAGCTACTCAGAAGGCAAGAGAATCGCCTAAGCCCAAGAGCTGGAGGCTGCTGTAAGCTGTGACGCCACAGCACTCAACTGAGGGTGACAAAGTGAGACTGTCTCTAAAAAAAAAAGGATTAGAGGCTGCCACCCCACTCTCATCTTTGGCGAGAACCCCACACCCTTGCCTTTCCTGTCACCTGGCTAAGGAGGGAGTGCTGGGCAGCTTGTCCAAGATGCCAGCAGAGGGCACTGTGAGCTGCAGCAACAGCCTCCTATGCTCAGCGCCAAGGGCTGGGGTGCAGGTGGTTGTTGGGTCTCTGAGTGGAAGCCAGCCTTCTTAGAGGACCCGAAAGACTGGTGCGGTTGGAAGGATTGAAGCCTGAATTGAGCCCTCTCTTCCTCACCTAGTCTAGGAATTGAGGCAGAGAGTTCAATGGAGACCAGAGTCTTCCAGAGAAGATGGCAGTTCTGGCTTGGTACCCATACATAGATCAGTGAGTAGGATGCCAGCCACATATATACATCAAGGCTAGTGGGTTTGAGCCTGGCCTGGGCCTGCTAAACAACAATGACAACTGCAACAAAAAAAATAGCTGAGGGGCAGTGACTGTGGCTCAAAGGAGTAGGGTGCTGGCCCCATATGCTCGAGGTGGTGGGTTCAAACCCAGCCCTGGCCAAAAGCTGCAAAAAAAATAATAATAATAATAAATAGCTGAGCATTGTGGCAGGCACCTGTAGTCCCAGCTACTTGGGAGGCTGAGGAAGAGAATTACTTAAGCCCAAGAGTTTGAGGTTGCTGTGAGCTATAATACCATGGCACTCTACCGAGGGCGACATAATGAAACTCTGTCTCAAAACAAAAAAAAAAAGTTCCAGGCTTTTAACACACCTAATGATGGTTTGGTGGGGTAAGGGCATCGTGATATGTAGGACGTTCTGGAAGAGGGAGGGGGTTTGCCCCAAATGGGACCCAGACCTACAAGCAGGCTGAGTTGGTTCTAGGTCTCATTATCAAATCTCAACTTTTTCCTAACCTGGAATGGGACTGGGTACCATGGCCCATGCCTGTGATCCTAGCTCTCTGGGAGGCTGAGGTAGGAGGATTCCTTAAGCTCAGGAATTCAGGATCAGCCGGAGCAAGAGCGAGAGCCCATCTCTACTAAAAGTAGAAAAATTACCTAGGCATGGTGGTGGGTGTCTGTAGTCCTAGCTATTCAGGAGGCTGAGGCAGGAGGATCACTTGAGTCCAGGAGGCTGAGATTCCTATGTGCTGTGACGGATGCCACTGGGCTAGTGTGGTTACACTAGCCTGGGCAACAGAGTGAGACTCTGTCTCAAAAACAACAAAAAATGAAATAAAATATAAAATATTCAAGTCCTAACCTGGAGTGGGAGCTGTGGCAGAGGGCCAAGTCCCAGTGGAGGTGAGCACAGCCATAGTTGAGGATCCTGGGAATCGGGCCACCTGAGGGTACCCTGTCTTCCATAAGGAGAGCTTGGTGGCCTGGGTGGGGTCCGCCAGCAAACCTTTTGTCTTTGGCTAGCGGAGAGTGGGGAGAAGCTGGAGAGCAATGCCAGGGCAATGCTAGAGATCTGGACACCTGCTGCCACCCACTGTGTAGGCACCGGGGGTAGCAAATGGCCCAGGAATAATGACCCCTTCTTCCAGGAATGGGTGCATTTACAAGGCAGGTTGGCGCCAAGCTTAGTTCTCCACCCAGTCCATCTCTGAGTGCTTAGTTGCAGGCTGCCTGTGTCTGACCTACCAATTAACCCTGGCAGGGGTATCACAGCCACCTAATCACCATCATTAAGTAAAGGGGTATGAGGACTTAATGACTTCCAAAGACCTGTGGTGAGAAGGGCAAAGGTGCTAACCTCTCACACCCGTGGGGTTCTGCTCCACCACAGAGGCTGCAGGGCGAGGAGAGGGGGTGTCTCACCCTGGAGAACATAGGGAAGCCAGATGTTTCCTCCTGCTCCCTCACACGTGGCCCTGACACCAC